ATTGTATTTATTTGTAAGTTAGGGTTGGATGGGGATGGCGAGTATTCGGTGTGTAGCGGGTGCGTAGGGAGCGAGAAGCAGGATGGGGAAGGACACAAGGTACGGTAGGCCGGAAAGGAGAGACAGATATGTCAGGTAGTAGTGCAGTTATGGCGATGGTAGGACGAGGAGGAAGAGGAGAAAAAAAAGAGAAAAAGAATGGCAAGAATGGGAAGTAGGAGGCAAGGAGAGGAGGGAAGCAGAGATAGTAGAGATTTCATGAAAGTAGAAGACAGTTAGCAGTTTAGAAGTTGTTTGTAAATAACTAACGTACTTGCATAACGAGTGGCGCAGCATAACGAGTGGCGCACTTTTTTGCCTCTTACAACCACCCAACTCAATCACTGTATTACTCCCACAATACAAGATGGAATCTCTACCAAAAGAAAGCCGTATAATTCTTGCGCTTAAAGGTCTTCAAAAAGACGCCCAGCTCTCCGTACGAAAAGCTGCTAGGATCTACGAGATCCCCGAAACCTCGCTCCGCCATCGACGAGCTGGAAAGCAACCACGCCGCGAAATAGCTGCCAACCTTCGAAAACTGACCGACTTGGAGGAAAAGGTGCTTCTTGAGAGGGTACTGGACCTTGATGCACGAGGATTTCAGCCCCGGCTCTCTGACATCCAAGAAATGGCCGATCGTCTTCGCGCAGCACGCGACGCGCCACGCGTCGGACCCCGATGGGCGAACAACTTCGTGAACCGGCACCCCGAGCTTACAACGCGTTTTCGACGCCGGATCGACTACCAAAGAACCCAATGCGAAGATCCTGACGTGGTAAACGCGTGGTTTCGGCTTGTACGAAACATGATTGACAAGTACGCGATCCAGGAGGGGGACTTCTACAATTTCGACGAGACTGGGTTCCAGATGGGGATACTTCCGGCTGCAAAAGTCGTGACAAGCTCCGAACGCCGCGGTCGGCCTCGTATGAAGCAGCCTGGCAATCGGGAGTGGGTTACGGTGATCCAGGCTGTGTGTGCGGATGGCTGGGTCGTGCCGCCGTACTTCGTTGTCAAGGGGAAAAACCACCTCCTCCCCTGGTATCAGGACAGCCGGTTCCAGCCCGAATGGAGAGTCCACACCAGCGAAAATGGCTGGACTACGAACGAGATTGGTCTGGATTGGTTAAAGCATTTTGATCATTCTACCCGGCGTCGTACAAAAGGGATATACCGACTGCTTGTCCTCGACGGCCATGAAAGCCACCACTCGGCCGCCTTCGAGGAATTCTGCAAGGCCAACAACATTGTTACACTTTGCATGCCTCCCCATTCATCTCACTTCCTTCAGCCTCTCGATGTGGGATGTTTCAGCCCACTTAAGGCCTCGTATGGCAAGCAAATCGAGAAGATGATGCGGATGCAGATCACCCACATCACGAAGGAAGACTTCTTCGACGCGTTTGTCGAGGCATTCCATGCCTCTATTACAGTGAACAACATACGGGCGGGCTTTAGAGCAGCTGGCCTCGTCCCTTTCGACCCCGAATCTGTGGTTTCTCGCCTCGACCCCAAGCCAACCACCCCATCTCCTCCGAGCTCGCGTCCTGGAACAGCTACGTCTTGGGTGCCCAAGACACCCTCCAATGCGCAGGAAGCAATA